GACTCTGCACCATGCCACACAGGCAGGTAAACGTAGTCATGGCTGTCTGACAATTTCTTCGACTACATCACCCTTTACATCTGGCCATCTCACTCCCCAGACTGCAACCCCCTTGATTATTATGTGTGGGGCGCAGTTGAACGAGAGACCAACAAAACTTTTTGCAACGTCAAAAATGAACTAAAGTCAAGGATTATAGCAATATTTACCAACTTAAACAAGTAGACTGTCCAGAAACGTTGCAGGAAATTCCGAAGTTGTGTTGAGGCCATGGTTGATGCCAATGGCGATTTTATTGAATAAATTTTTTCTTTATTATTTCAAGATATGTTTGTGTAATTTTAGTAAATATGTCCGTTAAAGCGAGATGTCAGAGTTATATTCATTTTTGCGTATTTTAAATGACAATTTATCCATCGCATCCTGAATATAAATGTTTCATTGATTGTAACAGACATGGAAAATCTTATAAGTATTTCTAATATTCTTACAATTTTCCAGCTGAAGAGGTTAAGATAGTGAAGGAACTCTCCATAATGATGATTGTCTTAAGTGCTTTCAGCCAAGTCATGAACCACTTTCAAGGAGTTCGTTGTTAACATGTTTCAATGCTAATATGTTCATGTTTTATAGCCACCAAAAATCGGCACGTTTATAAACACACAAAAATATTCGAAATTCTTTTAAAAATCCTGGGGGTCGATGAACTGTAGTAAACTTTTTCAATTTATGATTAGTAAATATTGTTTTTATTTAATAACAATATCACTTGACTGCTACAAATTAATACAGAATTTTTTTAAAAAATTATTCTAATTAAATTTTATTTTTAAATGAAAACATTTCTTATAAAAATTTTTCATTAATCGAAAAAAAATGCATAAGACAATATTCTCCATAACATATTTTATTCATAAAAGCAATGAAAAGCATTTCTGATTAAGCAGTGTTTTAATTTTATTGCATTTTTATTTTACGATTTAGAGCAGATTTTCTGTAATTGGAGATCCTGTTTGACAAAATATATTTGATTCTCCTGGGACTTGTACTTATAACTGATAAAAAACACTGGGATTTACAAAAATGAATTTTTCGAAATAAGTGTGGCGTAACAAATGTAAAGAAACATACTTTCACCAAGATTTTCTAAAACAGAAACATTTCAAAATTAATTTCATTCATTTTCTGAATAACTCTTGAAAGTTTCATCAAAGTTCTCCACTTATTTGATGTACTTCTAAAAAAAAAAAACAACTAAAAAACAATATCTGTTTATATTTCTGAGATTAGGTATTGCAACTATTTATACTATATTACATTGTTCGAATTGTTGTCCACATCTTTATTGTTATTTTCACGACGTTTCGTCCGTTGTACTCCCCGGCCTTCTTTATGTGATATACTTTGAAATTTCAAACAGAACCATTTATTTCATTCATCGAGGTACATTGTTTTAGTTCCACATGCCATGCCTTTTCTGGATATCTCAGTTTCAGTTAATTCTTTTAGTAACTCAACTCTTCAAGGTTTTGTTCACCCCTGCTGTGGCCAGGTATCGAACTCACAAGAGAGAAATTTCTTATGCCAACGCCTTCGTTCTTAGCGGAATTTTATCAAGGCACGTGTGGAAATTTATATTCGGTAACTTGTATTCATACAGAGAAGTAACGTAAACAAAATATATTGTCAGATCTTTCAAGTTTTGAATTCTATAACGCTCTAAAATATTACTGTGTAAGGAAATGAAAAGTATGGATGACGTGATGCAATTTTCGGCCTATTAAAGGAAAGTGACGCCAATGTTTTTGTCGTTGCTGATTTTATATATATATATATATATATATATATATATATATATATATATATATATATATATAAAACTTATTATTATTTATTTATTTATTTTTATGCATTTTTATTTGTCTATTTAATTAATTAATCTATTTATTTTTTAATTCTTTAAAGTCAATTTTTTTTTTCATTTTTTTATATTGGCTTGAGAATGGGGCGTTTCTTTTAACAAAGGAGATATTTGAAAAAATCCATAACCTCATTTAATATATACGTACACACACACACACACATACATACATACATTATTTATATTAATATACTTCCTAGACTTGCATTTGTTTTGGCAACAAATAAGTACATAGGCACAGGCTCCGTGTTATCGCTGGGTGGAATTCATTAACTCTTGTGATGAGGGCCCAATCAAGAGCCCTCCGCAAGAGCTACCTTAAATCCCGCCTGATAGGGCGGCTTTTAAACTAGCATATATATATATATATATATATATATATATATATATATATATATATATATATATATATATATATATATATATATGTATTTATGCATTAAAAAAAAATATGGATCAATATTCAACGATAATGTTATTAAATTTATCAGACGTCACGAAAAGAATTTTCATAAAATATAAATAGACAACACTTGTCTCTCTCTCTCTCTCTCTCTATATATATATATATATATATATATATATATATATATATATATAAAAAGGTAGGATGTATGTGTCTGTGTGTGTATGTAACGAATGCACGGCCGCAATTTCCGACGGATTTGCACCAAAAGTTACATGCACATGCTCCAAGTTAGTGAAAAGGCCAAGACCGACTTTGCATTTCCCAACTCGCATCGATAGTGGAAATAATCGATTTTTTCATGCTTCTACGGCAGTTCATGTAGTTTGCGGCCATTTTCTACTGGTCAGAGTGAGAGCCTATAGCTGGCTGCCACGAATAGGCAGGAAGATTTTATTGGCCAGCGTGAGAGCCAACAGCTGAGGAACACGAATGTTAACTAGCATGCTAGCATGCAAAAAAATCGATAGCTGCATTCGTCACAAGTGGGAAAAATTTATATCTGCATGGCACTTTATTCCAATTGGCTCATTCGCTTGCTTAAACTCAACGTTGATTCTGATTCCGCAGAACTGGGTTGGGTCTGCAAAAGTATTTGTGGTTAACATTCTTTTTTCATTCGGTTTTTCCAGTTACGAGTCCTTTTTTTTAAACTGATCGTTTTGTGTTCATTTTGTTTAGTTCTTTTTTCGTAACAGATTGAATGTTTAGTATCGAGCTTAGAAAAAATTCGCAGTGTGAGATAGGCAAGAAGTAAGGCATGTAGCAACATCAGCACGGCAAAGGGCACTCCTTTAAATGCAAGGAAGGGCAAAAATATCTTAAGTCAAGTGATAGCAATTGCTGTATGAGTCGTACGATTTTTGAATCAAGCACGGGCAACACCGGGCCATGCTGCTAGTATATATATATATATATATATATATATATATATAATTGTCTGCTGCATTTTGGACTTGACCAAATTGTTAGATTAAACGTTGCTTCAGCTCTCAAATGTCTTCCTAAACTTGCATTTGTTTTGGCAACAAATAAGTACATAGGCACAGGCTCCGTGTTATCGCTGGGTGGAATTTTTCTTTCTGCCTTGGGAACGAAAATGACATTGCAAGTCAGCATAAGATTTCACATGAAATGCACACACAAAGCATGTTAGTTTTAGCTGCTGGTTAATTTCAGACACTCTCCCTTATCCATGTTCGCTATAGCGCTTCATATACGTAACAAGACCAGCTCTGAAGAGAACAACCCAACTATACACTGGACAAATGCGTCATGCAGTAATTTCTGAACCCGAAACCTTCCTAATCTTGTATTGGTCTGGAAAGCATTATCTTGGAAGTCGGTTCCACAAAGTAGGTTTTTTTTTCCGAGTTGAACTTAGTTTCTCACTAATGAAATACGAATGGAATGAGGGTGGTTCGTCTTAATGTACCCACCGTCGTGTGTCTTAGCTGTGAGGGTTAGAGTTGATGGAACTAAGTAATGTAGCGCGACTGAACATTTTCCATGGAAATAGCGATAAAAGCCATAGAAAGTCAATATGTAATGGTAGGTGGCGCCACCATAGCTTGACGCTATGGAAATGCCGAAACCTATATCACTTGAGATAGAGACAGCATAGCTCAGCATTTCTCAAGAAATCTTCCGACCACTTTGAATTGTTACCACGTCGAGTTGTCACGTGAGCAAATTAAGAACATTCCGGCCGGATCCTGACCTAAAATCCTGAGACTGTTTTCGGCGATTTTTTTCTATGATAACAATTCTTATAACTTGGAAATAAATTTTTTGAATAATCGAAATTAATTGCGAAATCAAACGAAAGTCACCCATGAAATAAAAAATAATTGTTCGTGCGGAAAGTAAGGACCTACGTACATCAAACTGTCTTTAAATTAAGTGGCGGCAACAACAGACTTTGAAAACAATAGAAATGTTGTTCTACAGAAGGATGCTGAGAATACCATGGACCGAACATGTGAGCAACGATGATGTTTTACAGAAAGAAGATGGAAAACACAAAAGGTCACTTATACTTAAGATTAAGAAGAGACAGCTGTAATTTCTAAGGCACATAACGAGGAAAGAGGGCTCGGAAAATTTGACACTCACGGGACAGATTAAAGGCAAGAGAGACAGGGAAACAACATATAACCTACCTAGCGAGCTTGAGTAAATGGATGGCGGAGCAAGATTTAGGAGAGACAAAATTTATTAAGAGCTACAAGTTGTGGAGAACCATAATCGCCAACGCTCTGAAGTGACACGGCACATGGAAGAAGAAGACTGGCTTCTCAATACCTTGCGCCAAATCGATTAGAGAATGTTTCGTTCAGCATATTTTCAGTATTTTTTTTTTTTTTTTTTAATCTATTTCGTTTCCTTTTTACGCCTTTATTTGTAAATCGTTTTTATTTATTTTCTTACATTTTCGTTTTGCTTACTTTTTTCCTGTTTTCTTCCTTTCGATAAAATTATATTGATATCAAGTTTGGAGGTCGTTATGCACCACTTGAAATAAAAGCTTTTTTTTTTTTCTTTTTTTTTCTTTTTTTTTTCTTTTTTTCCTTTTTTTTTTCTTTTGGTGAGGAGTTGTGAATTGGCGCCAAGATGAACGAAGAGAGGTATTTTAACCAATCAAGATACAATTGTCGGGTCGTCTGTCTGTCTACTTATTGGTTATTCACTGTCCAAATCCTCAACCAGCTACACTCTTTAAAAGACCTTCAAATTTATTTTCTTTTTATGTTAGGTATATTGAATAAGAAATGCAAATGGGTGTCTGATTTGTTTGCGGTGTTCAGCTGCTTGCATAATTCGGTGACGAGGAGTGATGAGAAATATGTATGGGTCAGGGTTGGTTACAGGCCATATAAGAAAAAAAAATAGAAAGAGTATATTTGGGAGTAGAGTGGAGAGAAAAGTAAACATAATAGAAGTCAGAGAAGGAACAAGAGACGGACGCGAAGAGGGGAAATAAAAACAAATGTAACATCCGGACAGTATGACATGGAAATATAGATTGAATCATAGAAGGATATATGTACAGAGTGAGTCAAAACGCATACAGAACGAAAGAAACAGGTAGAACAGGGCCAGCGCTTTGGGGTGCTTAGGGAGCCTGTCTCCAGAAAATCATTTCCTCCATCATTAAAATGATGTCAATTAGCTTTAATCTGTCAATTTTTACTCGCATTTCCACCCAGTAACTTAAAGCTTCCTAATTCACTCAAAACACACTGACAAAGGGTCGGCCTGTGGTAGGAATAGTAACAACAAACCACGGAAGATTATTATGCGTTTAAAGGAGATGGGCGCCGCCGGATAAATATCTTTGTAATAATTTTTAAACGTCTCATTACACTATGGTTGAATATTGCAAAGTTGACAAGCACGGGTGTCTGTCATGGATTTCTGCTTATTAAAAAATGGCTTCTTTTTTTTAAGCAATTCACCCCATACAAGGCGGAAGTGCCACTAGTACGCAAGGGGTTAAAGAGGATTGAGATGAAGAGTAAAGAGGCATGTTTGGGGAAGGATACAAAGAAGGACGGGGAACAAACTCAGGGTGTCAGATGTCGATTGACATTATACTTGAATATTTGAAGATTTCAGTCATCGGGGAAGCAAGGAGAAGGGGGTTCCACAGACAGGAAGTGCGGGAGAAGAAATTGTTTGACTAGAAGAGACGGTTACAATTAACCGCTTTGACAGTGAAAGGGTGGGGCCGTGATGCCAGCCTGGTAGCGTGCTTAAATTCATGCAGCGAATAAATCCTCTAGGTCTGAACGATGACAATACTTATAAACTGGCGCTACAGAATCACAGACGAAGAACATTAACAAATAACAAAAACATATCACTTGAAAACTACCAACTGCAGCAACAATTAAAATGGGTAGCATAGAAGGAAAAATAACCAGCTTGTTGGTTTTCCACAAAACCACAAACAAATGGTTAGGAAGGAAACTTCCATCAATTCTACAAAGTCAGTGAATTTGAGAAATTTATTTTCCGGGAAAACTGTTTTAATAGAAATATTTGATAAATTTCAACACTAACTATCCATTGAACGAGGAGCAAGTGTTTCCTTATAAGGTAACAACTATTCTCACGATTATTATTATTATTCGTAACAGAAAACAATAATTAATTAAGATCTCATGTCCTGGGATCCGTCTCTCCTAGACAGTACCTTCCCATTGCACTAAAAGGAGTACACTCTGACATCTGCGCCAATATCTAAAGGGTCCGCCCTATTTTGGTATGGCCGACAATAAATTGCGATCTTATAGTATGCGTCATATCTCAAGTGGATATAAGAATTGCTCCACATTAAAAAAAAAAAAAATGACCCCGTGTCACGTTTGGCCTTCGTATGGCGTCAAATAAAGATCTACAAGCCAAACCAAACACACAGACACAGATTAGACATGAAGTTTAGCCAAGTAACTTAAACTCCGCCATTGTCACGTAGCATCCATAGTGTTTATATAAATTACTTTTATATAACTGTCTGCTCACACGTATATTACGTAAGTAGAAGCCGTTGGCAAATTCATTTCATCAATTATGCATTTCCGGATGATTCCGTTTTTAGCGCACTTTCTGTTTTACAGTTTCTCTGTCTGGCCGTGTTTCTTCTTCTTCTTCTTCTTCTTCTTCTTCTTCTTCTTCTTCTTCTTCTTCTTACTCCTTGAGTAAGAAGAAGAATTATACTAACATTGATAACTGGGCAAACATGGACAAACATGCCTGCGATAAGACATAGTGTCAAAGGGATGCTTTTTTTTCCCATGACACCGCTTTTTTTAACTACCTTCACTCTTTGACAATGTTTATTGCTTTAAAAAACGATTATTAGAATTGTAATAAAACCTAAACATATGATGAAAGTAAATTTACACATTTTTTTCTTGGGAATTTACAACAAAAATATCAAACATCATTTACTTATTAGATTGTCTATTTACAAGAATATTTTCATATTTACAGCATTCTAACAACTAATGCAATATTTACTTTTACCAGTTTATAAAGAGATAACTGTGAAAACAATTATTATTCATAAATTTATAAACATTTACTAGATTATTAAAATAGGTACCTACATGATATCGCTGGAAAATGGGCATAGCAGGATAATAACGGCCTTAAACTTGATGAAAATAATTTTTGTCGTCTAAATGTTTATGTTGTTATCAAGAGGAAAGATCAAAGTATTTTTTTTTATTTTTTAATAATTTCTAGCACGTCCAAAATTTTCGTTAAAAATCTTGTATTTTTTTATCAGCAAAATTGACAGAAAATCTATCGTCAGACATTTTTAACTATTGTTTTCAAAAATGAAAGTCTCCGTTTAAAATTCGTTTAAAAAATCAATTATGATATTTTTTAATTAATTTAAGAAAATTAGAAATTAAAGTTTATTTAAAGTATTTTCAAACAAACATTACTTTCTGCGGTGAAAAAAATGTACTTTCAAATGATAGAAAGCCGGTTTTAACAAATTGACAAGTGACACGTGCGGGATTTCATCTTACGGGAGGAAAAGTTATAGTACGGAAGGTCACAAGTGACAGTTTACCTTTATGTGAACAACTTATTTACCTCGTTATTTTTAAGTAAGCATAGCATGATAAAAACGACCTTAAACTTGACGAAAGTAGAAATTTATCGTCAAAATGTTTATGTCACTACCAACGCAAACCACGTGACGGACTACAGTTTTCATGATGCTTCCGGTCTTCCGTATATTTGAAATTAAGCTATTTTTGGACACAACAAAAAAAAAACGTTATATTAGAGTTTTAGCTATTGGCAACTTGCTGATTGTAACCAGCTTTATTTTATAATCTGTAAATGATAGTTATCTACTTAATAACACCATTGACTAAACTGTACAACATTTTCATTAATTTTAGAATATTTAACAACTTTAATGAAAAAAAAAATAATTTAAGAAATAACAAATAATTGTTGTAAAAATTTATTTTTCATTGAAAACGTTTTTTGCTTTCAGAAAATATTATCCATATTCAAACAAACAAGTAAAAGCAACTAAAAGCTTTTGAAATTAAATAATATCTTTGTTTTATTGAATTCTGTATGTTAATTCAGAGCTGATTTTAAGGTAGAAGGGTGTCAATTTAAAAAAATAAATAAATGATTTGCTTTCCTCAAAGCCTTGTGTTTTTAACTAATTAATCACTAAAACTGTACAAATTAGAATTGCATGTGTTTTCATAAAATTAATTTGGTGGGGGGGTAATACATATAAAAAAAATTTACCATGACTTAAAAAAATAAACAAATTTCTAATAATTGTCATCATTTTTGAATAGTTTCTGAAAGTTTCATTAAAATCCGACAATTATTTTTATTTTTGCAAGATTTTCAAAATTAATGACTACCATTAAAAAAAAATACACAAAAATCCGCCATGTTAGTTAGTAGGACACTCGCTGATGATGAGAAACAATGTTTTTCAATCAAAAGTTAGAATGCTCTAATAAAGACAGAAAAATTTTGAAAAATAATTAAAAATTACTTTGTTCTTTTCTCTTAATAAAAAAAATAAATATTTTGACGATAAAATTTTGTTTTCATCAAGTTTAAGGCTGTTATTATTTTGCTATGCTCATTTTCCAGCGATCTCATGTCGGTACCTATAAATTAAAATATGTGAACCAACTATAAGGAAATCATTATTATTTACCATTTTATAAAATCTAAATCAATTGGCAATTAGCCGATGTTTTACCAACTTTTCCAATAAATAGTATAATAAATAAGGCAAATAAATATATAGTTTTTATTATTTTTGTTGTTAATTCTCAAGGATTCTCATTTTCATATGTTTAGGCTTTATTACAATTTTAATCATGGCTTTTAAAAACAGTAAAGAAGAATGAAGTTAATTAAAAAAAAAAGCGGTGTAATGGGAAAAACTGTCCTTTTGATACTCTGTCTTATTGATGACACTTTTATACATGTTTGCCGGTAACTGTTTGAGTCTTCAGTAAAAATAACTTTGGCACAATAACACATGAATTAGAAGCAATACTAAAAAGAAAACGAAGGAAGAAAATAGATTTTACAACCGGAGAAGTGTAAATACTTGCTTTAATCTAAGCATTTGCAACCTGAATAAGATGAAATGCCTCCTTTTTTAAAAAGCTCTATTTAAAGAAGACGTGTTTCGCTTTCTTTTGACAGGCCAGTCCCGGAACTTATCAGTCTGTTATGAGTATTCGTATATTCACACATTAACTAAGTTTGGTTATCTATTACAAACGGTATAATAAAATGTCTTGCTAAAATCAACATAACTGGTCAAAAGTCCTGCTTAACATGTGCACAAAAACCGAGTTCAATTAACATATCAGCTCAGAGTCCCTGTTCAATTGATATAGCTGCTCAAAACTGCAGTTCAGTTGACATATCAATTTAAAACGCGAATTCAATTGACATATGTCTCAAAACAGTTCAGATGACATATCAGCTCACAACCCAAATTCAACTGACATATCAGCCCGGAATCCTAGTTCAATTGACATATCAGCCCAGAATCCTAGTTCAATTGACATATCAGCTCAAAACAGAATATCAGTTGACATATCAGCTCAGAGTCCCATTCAATTGATATATCAGCTTAAAATCTCAACTTATTTGACATTTAAACTATAATAGAGAACTTTAATTCTATTTATCTGAGTTTCTTTGAAGCATTGTATATCAATTTGTTTTGCATGAATGTCTCGCAACTAACTCAATTCTGATTTGGGTTAAAGAAGTTACTCTGTGTCAGCCTATATATCTCGCACTCTTATTCTCACTCGCTCTTATTATCACTCTCATTCTCTTTCTCACTCTCTTTCTTTCTTTCTTCCTTTCTTTCAAAATAAATTGGTTTTTTAAGCATGAGTAAAAATATTGCTAAAATAAAATAAATTGTATTTCGACCTCAGAAAATGTTTTGGCGTCCGATAGATCGAAAACCACTGATACATATTTATATAACGAGAAGGAAGATCAAACAATTTTTCACGCCATTTTTTTATATAACGAGAAGGAAGATCAAACAATTTTTGCACCATTTTTTTATATAACAGGAAGGAAGATCAAACAATTTTTTCCCACCATTTTTTTATATAACGAAAAGAAAGATCAAACAATTTTTCACGTCATTTTTTTTTTATATTACGAGATAGATGAAACAATATAATCTGCAATTGTCGCACGCACACACACACGCACGCATGCGCACTTCTTGCACTTATCTTTCAACATGAACTTCGGACAATATCTGACGGAATTTCTTCCTTATCTGAGAAGGATTATTGGCAATTTGGAAAATTCGTTCATTAAAATTAATCGACACAAAATGACCGTTGTTTTTACCATTTGCTTTAAAGGACATTTGCTGATTAAATTCACAGAATATATATATATATATATATATATATATATATATATATATATATATATATATATATATATATATGGTGTGTCCTTAAGACGGATTAAAGTCAGCAGTAAATATTGGTGAAAATTTATTTATTTCTCTATTGGATCATGTTATTTAAGTCATGGTAATTATGTGGTGTGAAAAATAATATCGCCCGCGAAGGCTCCGGCGACACACGTCCACTCGATGGTCAGAATTTTTGATGACGTCTCTGCATAGTTGCTCCCCGATCTCACCAATATGCCTTATTAACTCATTCTTCAGCTGTTGAATTGTTGTTGGATTGTTGGCATAGACCTTCCTTCTGAGATGACCCCCAAAAGAAGAAATCTAAAGGCGCACCATCCTGGTGGCCAATTGACTTCGTTGTTTCGAGAGATGGTGCGAATTGGGAACTTCTCATTCAAATTCTGTGTGAACGTCCATTTTCGTAATAGGCTTCGATAACTTTAACACGTTGTTTGATTGCTAATCTTTCCATGATTGAAAGTGCCAACGTCTTAAGTTGATAAATCTGAAAGAAAAAGAAAAAAAAGTCATTAGACGCTTAAACTTAATTCACATTTAAAATCGGTTGAAGTTATTAAAACACCCTTTATATACAGACAGAACTATAAAATGAAGGCTGAAAACAGCCGCGCCAAAAAGGTATAGACAACAAAGAAGTGCTCAATACAAATTTCAAATTCGAATATGTAGAATTACGTAAGAAATGACTAAAATGCTAGCCTCCCTCGAAACACGTGGTTTTGGCGGCAAGGTCTTCGAGCGCAAGTGAGGAGACCCTGCGGCCAAAAAACCTACTGTCATTTTAACCATTTCTTATATATATATATATATTTATATATATATATATATATATATATATATATATATATACATTTTGTCCTTATTATCATTAGTAAGAAACAAAATGAAAATGTAGATTTATTAATAGTAGTATACATTTTAGCTCTGTTATATTACATCAAGTACTGTTTAATTAACACCACCACTCACTGTACGATAGTGTGTGTGTGTGTGTGTGTGTGTGTGTGTGTGTGTGTGTGTGTGTGTGTGTGTGTTTAATCAATTCATCCCAAGAAAAAGATCGGGGAGTAGTATGAACCGGATAATAATCATACTATGTATATATACTAGGCCAAAGTTTATTAATATACAAGTGAATGTTTATTCCAATAAATTATGCATTGACCAACAACTTTTAAGAAAAAAAAATCGGGATGTACT